GATTTTTAATTTGAGACAGGGTCTCGCTAAGTTTCCCAGTGGGCCTCCAATTTGTAATTCTCCTGCCTCAGCCTCTCAAGTTGCTGGGATTTCAGGCCTGTACCATCATGCCTGGCTTGCTTTCAAACTCTTTTGGATATGTATATCCAGAGGGGAAAATGCTGAGTCATTTGGAAATTCTGCTTAGTTTTTTGAGGTGCCTCCGTATTGTTTTCCATAACAGCTGGACCATTTTTCACTTCTAAAGTACAATTTTAGTTTCTCCATATCCTTGCCAATATTTGTCACTTTTTCTTTTTGTTTTTATATTAGCCATTTTAGTAGATGTGAGGTGGTATCTTATTGTGGTTTTGCTTTTTTATTTCTCTAGTGATAATGATTATGATGTTAACTGTCTTTTCATATGCTTGCTAACCAGCTGTTTTTTTAAAATATCTTTGCATATAACCATAAATACCTTACATTTTACCCAGATCTTTTATCAATCTCTCTCTCTCTCTCTCTCTCTCTCTCTCTCTCTCAGTAATTCTGGGGATTGGACTCAGGGGCACTTGACTAATTTAAATCAGCCCTATTTTTGTATTTCATTTAGAGACAGGGTCTCACTAGGTTGCTTAGTGCCTCTCTTTTGCTGTGGCTGGCTTTGAATTTATAATCCTCCTGTCTCAGCCTCCAGTGCACCAGTTTACCAGTCTCTTTGTTAGTGGTTCTCCTACCACTTGACATAGTCAGTCTCTTAAAATTTACATATTTTCCTTCTTACCCTGTTTGCATATCTTGCAGTTGATTATTTTGACCATCTAGATCTTTAGAAACTCCTTAGGAATGGTTTTAGTTATTTATTTGTTCAATTTATACTCAGTACATTGTTTACATGAAACTATGTATGCAATTAGAAACTATTCCCTAGCTTGTATTAAGGAGTATATGTGTTCATGAACATACACATTCTGAGTGGGTAACATTGAAAATTTAGTCATATTATGCTATTTACTAAATTTAAACATGTACTTATGTGTGTCAGAATTCAGAAAATTTAAAATAGTATGCAAGGAATATCTCTTTTTTATATACTGCAACTTTCAGTTCCCTTTCATGGTGGCAACCAAATGATGAGTTTTACATGATTATATAGTATGAGATAAGTATTTTGTAGCATTTTTTATTTTAACTGACTTTTTTTCCTTTTAGTTGATTATGGAAGATTCCCACAAGAGTAACACTTCAGAGACTACACCTCAACCTGGTTCAGCAGTTCAGGGAGCTCATATTTCTCATATTGCTCAACAGGTAAGGCAAGGACCAAAGTTAGGAATATGTTGTATGAAAGTTATTTCAGATATTTTATTACTAATCTTCAGAAAAAGAACTAGACAAGAAAAGACTTTAAAATGTTGAAATATAAAGAGGAAAGATGGATTTGATTTAAATCTCTTGTCAAAGACAATTTTTTTTTTTTTCAGTAGTACCTGGCATTGGATCCAGTGGTGCTCTACCCCTGAGTCATAACCCCAGCCGTTCTTAAAACTTTTAGAGACAGGGTCTTGCTAAGTAAGTCACCCAGGCTGGCCTCAAACTTGTAATCCTCCTGTCTCAGCTTCCTGAGTCTTGGGTTACAGTTGTGTGCCACCACACTCAGTTAAGACCAATTGGTTTTATTTTATTTTATATAAAGTATATTTAGAGTTGTTTTACTATGGACTTCTCAAAACCTAGAGCAGTAGATTTCACGTAGGAGAATTCTACCTACATGAAATGGAGATAGAATTTCATGGAGAACAATGATTTAGAATATTTTCTAATTTGTAACATCAGAAAGATGTGATTATTTGACTTTTGTACTAACTTGAGACACAGACTAATGGTTTCAAGGGGTGAATCATCTTCATTTCAACAGATTTATCCTGGCTATATTGGACATTTATTTATTTATTTGTTTTGTGGTACTGGGTCTTGAACTCAGGGGTACTCTACCACTGAGCCCTTTTTGTTTTTAATTTTGAGACAGGTTCTTGCTAAGTTGCCAAGGCTGGCTTTGAATTTGCCATCCTCCCATCTCAACTTTCTGAGTCTCTGGGATTATAGGAGTGTGCCATTCTGTCTAGCTTAAAATTTTTTTCCTTTAAAAAAATTTTTTATTTTAGTTGTTGATTGACCTTTATTTTATTTATATGCGGTGCTGAGAATTGAACCCAGCACCTCACACAGGCCAGCAGCAAGTGCGCTACCACTGAGCCACAGCTGCAGGGACCCCCCCCGCCCACTTTTTAAAAATTTTTTTGAGATGGTCTCACTGGGTGTTGAGGCTGGTCTCAAACACAATTATTCTCTTACCTGATTCTTTGTGTCCTTGTGTTTGGTCTCCAGTACTGAAAAAGACAAAAAAAAAAAAAAA